GAGGGAGAGGAAGAAGGGAGGAAAGAAGGAAGGAAAAGGAGGGAGGGAGGAAAGAAGGAAGAAAACATGAGGGAGAGGAAGAAGGGAGGAAAGAAGGAAGGAAAACGAGGGAGGGAGGGAGGAAAGAAGGAAGGAAACATGAGAGGGGGGAAAGAAGGAAGGAAGGAAACATAAGGGAGAGAGGGAGGGAGGAAATAAGGAAGGAAACAAGGGAGGGAGGAAACATGATGGATGGAGGGGGAGGGAGGGAGAAAGAAAGGAAGGAAAGATGATCGAGGGAGGAAGGAAAAGAGGAAGGAAGGAAGCATGACAGACGGAGGGAGAGGGAGGGGAAAAGAAGGAAGGAAACATGAGGAAGGGAGTGAAGGAGGAGCGAAGGAAGGAAGGAAAGAAGGAAGAAAGGAAGGAAGGAAGGAAGGAAAAAGTCAACAGGGGAAGACAGATTTGCTTAACCCATTTAACAGCTGCAGTGACTTGCTAAACAGTTGTGGCAGAAATGATTATAACATTGGGAAGGACCCACTTAACAACCACCTTGCTTAGCAGTGGAAATTCTGAGCCCAATCATGGTTGTAAGTCAAGGACCCCTGTACTGATTTTTTCCTACCGCCTGTCCTATCTTTACTCTAATGTCAGTAGAGATCTGAAGACAACCTTTCTCCAGATTTGCCATGGGGCTCCTGGGAATCCTGGCATCCATTTCAGCGACCGAGGTCCTGATTGGCCTGGCTGTTTTCTGCCTGCTCTTCCTAGTCCTCCAGACCTTCCGGAAACAGGCCCCCCAGGGCCACCAAAGAATCCCTGGGCCACGGGGCTATCCCTTGATTGGCAACATGCTGGACGTGGGGACCAATGTCCACCTCAGTTTGAGTCAGATGAGCAAGATCTACGGAGACGTCATGATGATCCACATCGGGACAACGCCAATTTTGGTGCTGAGTGGTCTGGAGACCATCAAGGAAGCTCTCGTGAGACACGGAGAAGCCTTCAAGGGGCGTCCCGACCTTTACATCTTCCGCCATGTGACCGATGGACAGAGCTTGTCCTTCAGCACGGATTCCGGCCCGGTGTGGTTTGCTCGTCGCAAGCTGGCTCAACACGCCCTGAAAACCTTTGCGTCTTCACCCAGCCTCACCTCCTTCTCCACCTGCCTCCTGGAAGAACACGTCTCCAAGGAGGCCCACCACCTGAAGGCAAAGCTCCAGGAGGTCATGTGCGCAAAGGGCCGCCTGGACCCCTATCTGTACTTGATGGTGGCGGTGGCCAACGTGGTCTTGGCCATGTGTTTCGGCAAGCGTTACGACTACGATGACGAAGAACTGCTCCACATTGTGACCAACAGCGAACAGTTTGTGGAGACCGCGGGCTCGGGAAGTCTAGCCAGCTTCATCCCCGTCCTTCAGTATCTTCCCAACAGTAAGGTGAAGAAGTTTAAGAGCTACAATCAGCAATTCAATAGCTTCCTGCAGAAGAACGTGAAAGAGCATTATGAGAGCTTCAGGAAGGTAAGCAGGGGTGAGATTCAGCCGGTTTGCACCGGTAGTCCTTGTAACTGGCTGGCCTCGCCCACCCCTCTATTCCCAGGAGTCTCCACACAGCCTGTTCATCATGCCAGCTAAGTGCAGGGCTCGCGTGGGCGCTGTGGGAGGGCGAAAAACAGCCTCTTTGGAAATCTGGAAACTGGCCTCCGGAGGGCCTCCGGAGCACAAGATAGGCCGTTTTCACCCTCCTTGAGACTTGAGGGAAGCCTCCGGAGGCTGGGGAGGGCGAAAAACAGGCCTACTGGAAGTACTGAAAGTCCAAAAATGGGTCCGTTTCCAACCTCCAGAGGGCCTCTGGAGCCCGGGGGAGGCCATTTTTGCCCTCCCGGAGGCTCAAAAAAAAGCCTCCGGAGCCTGGGGAGGGCAAAAACTCCCTCCTGTCATGGTTCAGGAGGCCGAGTAGGCCACGCCCACCAAGCAACTGGGCAGAGAACTGGTTGCTAACAATTTTCAGTCCCATCCCTGAAGATAAAATATTGTTGGGAGAAATATCCAGGCCCAGTTCCAAGCTGGGAGCTTCCTAAAAAACAAAAGGCTGATTGTTCTTGAAGTTGCCTCTTATGTGGTATTATTGTAAAGTCTGTTAGGAATATAATCTAACGGTTGGGTTGGCAATNATTCCATTCTATTCTAAATTCTATTCTATTCCATTCCATTCTATTCTATTCTAAATTATGTTCTGTTCTGTTCCATTCCTTTCTATTCTATTCTATTCTACTGGAAGGAGCTCTGGGTTAGCCTGCTTTCACCTGGGAGGCCCTCAAATGTGATGGATTCAAAAACTGGCTCCTGATCCTGGACTGTGGGGACAGTGCTCTCTGCTCTTAACTACTCACTGGCTCAGCTAGAGGTCCTTCTGCCCACCCAGAAGAGCCCAATTGCCCAGCCAGCAGAGGTGCCTGGTTGAGTGAACTCCCGTTGGCTCTGTCCCTTCTCTCTCTGTTTGCAGTGGAGAACCTATTGAATGTTGACCAAGTCGCGTTTGCACGCAACCCTGGGCAATCGTTAACATGCAGACAAGGCCAGATGTCGCTAAAGGTTGGTTGGGCAATCCCGGCCATGTCCACATCTTGTGATCTTGGGCAAAGGGAGGGTGAGAGAGGTTGGCACACAAACCTTTCTAGCTCCCAGCCTGGGGCTTCCGAAAAGGATTCTGCTCCTTTGGCTTTCTTTATTCGTATCGGAAGCACCACAATTAAAATAAGGCGTTCCACGCAACGCGACATTCAAAATATGAAATGCAAGACCGACAGGTTCCACCACAAATCCGCGAAGCCCTTATCCGCGGAGACATAAGCACGAAGACTAAGCGCTGCTGTGAGGGTCACAAACGTACACTCATCAGGATATGAAGGACAGGCATACATCTGTGTTGTTGTTTGTGAGGCATCACAATCACAAGGGGCAGAAGCCACCGGATGGCTCCATTTGAATTAGATTAAATTAACAGAGTTGGAAGGGACCTTGTAGGTCATCTAGTCCAACCCCCCGCCCAAGCAGGAGACCCTAAACCATTTGTGACAGATGGCAGTCCACTCTCTTCTTGAAAGCCTCCAGGGATGAAGCTCCCACAACTTCTCTTCCATGGGTTGATTGTTCTCCCTGTCAGGAAATTCCTCCTTATTTCCAGGTTGAATCTCTCCTTGGTCAGTTTCCATCCATTATTCCTTGTCTGGCTTTCGGGGGCTTTGGGAAATAGCTTGACCCCCTAACTCCTCTCTGTGGCAGCCCCTCAAATATTGGAAGATGGCTATCCTGTCTCCCCTGGTCCTTCTT